GAGAGACGATGTCACTAATCGACCTGTAGCAAAGAATCAAAGGGGTCGGGGTGCCCAACAGCAGCAGGGGCGAGCTGTAGCCCATGCAACTACAGGCAGGCAGGCCGATGCACCTGACGCGGTTGTTACAGGTACGCTACCAGTCTTTGATCACTTAGCTTTTGTACTATTTGATTCGGGTTCTACACACTCATTTGTGTCCGAGGAATTCGTTGACCTAGCACACCTAGAAAAAGAACCCTTGGAGACCATTCTATCAGTGTCCACCCCTGCTCACGAGTTATTAATGGCTACGCATAGAGTTAAAAGGGGTAATGTGACAGTGTCGGGACGAGTCTTAGAAGCTACTTTAATAGTTTTAAGCATGCAAGACTACGACATCATTTTGGGTATGGATTGGCTAGGCGAGAATCGTGCTCTTATTGATTGTGAAACTCGAATAGTTACTTTCAGACTTCCGTCAGGGGATAGTTTTTCATATAAGGGAGCCACTTCCAAAAGAACCCCAAGTGTCGTAACTGCACTTAAAGCTAGAAAGATGATCCGCGGTGGTGCAAGTGCATTTTTAGCTAGTGTGACCCTAGATAGCAGTGTTGAACAGGCAGTCTCGTCAGTGCACATTGTCAGGGAATTTGTTGATGTTTTTCCTGAGGATTTGTCAAGTTTGCCCCCTGTTAGGGAAGTTGACTTCGGGATCGACCTAGAACCAGGAACTGCGCCGATCTCCAAAGCACCCTACAGAATGGCACCTGCAGAACTCAGGGAATTGAAGGAACAGTTACAGGACCTATTGGATAAGGGTTTCATACGACCCAGTGTGTCGCCCTGGGGAGCCCCTGTCCTGTTTGTCAAGAAAAAGGATGGATCCCTGCGCCTGTGTATAGATTACAGAGATTTGAATAAGGTCACCATAAAGAATAAGTACCCCCTTCCGAGGATCGACGACTTGTTTGACCAGCTGCAGGGAGCATCGGTATTCTCTAAAATTGACTTGAGGTCAGGATACCATCAATTGAGAATAAGAGAAGAAGATATTCCCAAAACAGCTTTTAGAAGTCGCTATGGACATTATGAATTTCTCGTCATGTCCTTTGGACTTACCAATGCACCAGCCGTCTTCATGGAATTAATGAACAGAGTGTTTAAAGAATTTTTAGACACTTTTGTTATAGTGTTTATTGATGATATCCTGGTGTACTCCAAATCAGAGGCAGAGCACGAAGAGCATTTGAGAAAAGTTCTGACCATACTAAGAACACAGCGACTGTACGCTAAGTTTTCCAAGTGTGAATTTTGGCTGTCTGAGGTAGCGTTTTTGGGTCATGTGGTGTCGAGTAGAGGAATCACAGTAGACCCAGCTAAAATTGAGGCAGTGATGAAGTGGCCAAGACCGACCACAGTCACTGAGGTACGGAGTTTTCTGGGACTAGCTGGTTACTACAGAAGGTTCGTCCAGGATTTCTCCAAGATATCTTCAGCACTGACTCAGTTAACTAAGAAAGGCAAGCCTTTTTTGTGGACATCAGCCTGTGAGCAGAGCTTCCAGGAACTCAAGGAGAGGTTAGTGACAGCTCCAGTCCTCACAGTCCCTGATGGATCAGGAAATCTTGTGGTGTACAGCGACGCATCGGGAAAAGGTCTTGGATGCGTGCTCATGCAGAAGGGTAAAGTGATAGCTTATGCTTCCAGACAACTGAAGGAATATGAAAAGAATTATCCTACTCATGACCTCGAGTTAGCAGCAGTGGTGTTTGCACTAAAGACGTGGCGACATTATCTGTATGGAGAGAAAATTCAAGTATTCACCGATCACAAAAGTCTCAAGTACCTATTTACGCAAAAGGAACTTAACATGAGGCAGAGGAGATGGTTGGAATTAGTAAAAGATTACGACATCGAGATCCTGTATCATCCAGGCAAGGCCAATGTTGTGGCGGACGCATTGAGCAGAAAGGCAGTTCATACTTCCGCTATGATCACTAAGCAGGAGAGAATACAGGATGAGATGAAGAGGGCTGGAATCGATGTTGTAATCAAAGGTGGTACTGCTCAGATAACACAAATGACCATGCAACCTACCTTACGAAGACGGATTATTGACGCTCAGAGGTCTGACGAACACCTTGAAAAGCTGTGGAATCAGACGGAGATTGAAAGACCAGAGGGGTACTCAATCTCTTCAGATGGGGGTCTGCTGTGGAAAAATCGCTTATGCGTTCCCCGTGACAAGAAAATTCTTAAGGATATTATGACAGAAGCTCACGATACTTCTTATACGTTCCACCCTGGAAGTACAAAGATGTATCAGGATCTTAAGGGATGTTATTGGTGGCCAGGGATGAAAAAGGAGATAGCAGAATTTGTAAGCCGATGCTTGACCTGTCAGCAGGTGAAGGCCCCGAGGCAGCGTCCAGCAGGACTGCTACAACCCCTAAAGGTTCCGCAATGGAAATGGGAAGCAGTTTGCATGGATTTTATCTCAGGCTTGCCCAAGACTAAGCAGAACTTCAACGTAATCTGGGTAGTTGTTGATAGACTTACCAAAATGGCTCACTTCATCCCAGGCAAAACCACTTATCGTGTGGATCGGTGGGCTCAGCTGTATATCAGAGAAATAGTACGCTTGCATGGTGTACCGGTGTCTATAGTGTCTGATCGGGACACTAGATTCACCTCTCAGTTCTGGAAAAGCCTCCAAAAAGCATTGGGGACTCAGTTAAGGTTTAGTACAGCATTCCATCCTCAGACGGACGGACAGACTGAAAGATTGAATCAAATTTTGGAAGATATGTTGCGAGCTTGTGTCTTGGATTTCGCTGGGTGCTGGGATGAACATCTACCTCTGATAGAGTTTGCTTATAATAATAGCTATCAAGCGACCATCCAGATGGCCCCTTTTGAGGCGATGTATGGGCGTAGGTGTCGAACACCAGTATTTTGGGAAGAAGTAGGCACGCAGCAGCTACTGGGACCGGAGTTAGTTCAGGTCACCAACGCGGCAGTGCAGAAAATTAAGCAAAGAATCCTCACTGCACAAAGCCGGCAGAAGAGCTATGCAGATTTGCGTAGAAGGGACCTCGAGTTCGAGGTGGGTGACCATGTGTTCGTGAAGGTAGCCCCTATGAGAGGGGTGATGAGGTTTGGAAAGAAAGGGAAGTTAAGCCCAAGGTTTGTAGGCCCTTTCGAGATTCTAGAGAGAGTTGGGGCCGTGGCGTATAAGATTGCTCTACCACCAAACCTTGCCGCCGTTCACAACGTGTTCCACGTATCTATGCTGCGAAAGTACACCTCAGACCCTACTCACGTGATTGAACACGAAACCCTCCCTCTTCGGGAAGATTTGTCCTACGAGATAAGACCCAGCAAAATTCTGGCTCGAGACACTAGGCGTCTGCGCAACAAAGTTATTCCCTTGGTAAAAGTCGCATGGGGTAACCATCGACACGAGGAGGCAACCTGGGAACGAGAAGAAGACGTAAGGAGAACCTATCCCGAACTCTTCCAAGGGATACCAACTTTCGGGGACGAAAGTTTTTAAGGAGGGGAGAGTTTGTAACGTCCAAAAAAAAAAAGGCTGAGGGGCAAAAAGGACATTTTACCCCTCAGCCCATTATAGGGGTCTTGAGCGTCCTCCTCAGATTACCTGCAAAAGAAGAAGAGTGAGAGAGAAGAACTGAGAGAAAGTTTGAGAGAGAAAACTGGTTTGCCGGAGTTTTCGTCGGAGAGTCGCCGACGGAATCCATTTCCTACCAAGACCTGTACTCTGGAGCCCTTCTTGGAGTGAAGTAAGAACTCGTGTGGAGATTTCCTCCTCCTTCCTCAAGATCAGAAAGAAAACCCGCAAAGTAAGATTTCGAACTATACCTTCCAGATCTTAGATCTTTGTTTAGGAGTAGAATGGTTAAGTCTACTACCTTTGTCCAGGGAGGATTCGCTACCGATCTTGGTGAGGGAAACGGACGGAACGACGAGATCTGAGAGACTATCCAAGAACGGTAAGGTTGTTACCGAACCTCTTTTCGACGCTCGAAACTCATCGTGTGACTAAGCAAAAATCAAGAAAATAATATTGGCACGTAGGTTGATAGATGATCTATAACTTTGTTGAAGAAACCACCTCTGTTTGGGTTAAGAATCGAAAGATAGAAAATGGAAAGAAACCTCGGAAAAACTAATCGGAAGCCTTGATTTTCTGGTAGGAGGAGAGAGAAGCCGCCGGCGTGCCACGCGTCAACCAACCAGAGGGCCGCGTGCGCCAATCGCCCCCGGACACGCGTCGAGCGCCGCCTGGGAAAACGCGGCTCCAGCGCTCCTGCGACACGCGTCCCTGGCTCCGCGACCCGACCCGCGCTCCTTGGCTGACCCGATACCCGCACGGCGAACCGAATCCAGTTGACGACCCGCGGTCCACCCGAATCACCGCTTCCGACCCGAACCCGCGACCCGCGACTGCAGGAATTTCTGGGCGCGTGACACTCGCGCGTGGAACCCGCGAGTGGCTGCTCCCCAGCGCGTGACTGGCGCGTGGAGGCGCGTGTAAGCTGTTTTTGGCCCGATCGGCTTCTGTTTTCCCTAGTTTCCCCTGATTCATATCCTAACTCCATTTGTTTGTATGAAATAGGACCTTATTGAGGAAAAATCACCCCCTCTCGTTACGCCAAGTGTGTGGAAACGCTGCGTAAGGGCACGTAGCATCCAAGTAAGTCGCCACACGGAATTTAGGAAGTAATACTTGTAGGAACCGCTTGGGATGCATGCATGCTAGTCTGAATATTTTAGGTTGTAGCTTTCCCGTAAATGTTCGTAGGAAATAGTTTATTGAACGTAAGATGTATGCTGTGATTTGTTATGAGAGTTACTTGGATACTGCTTATATGCTCTTAATTCCCACTTTATTTTATGCATATGTATATCTTTTTGCTGAATGGAGAATGGAAAATTTGCGAACTCTGTGCTCCGGGAATTGATGGATGTTATCACCCCGTCGAGCTTGTATGATTACTTTGCATGAAATATGTTTGAGGTTTTTGGATAATAGTTATGTACGTACTCGGTTATTTTTAGGGCCACCTTTATGAATAAGACTAGAAGACAATGGTTAGAGCGACAAACCATCAAGGGATCGACTTAACCTTTCCCTATTAGTTTATCAGACCATCACGGCACATGAAACATCCTTAGAGTACCCTTAAGCTACTTGTGTGTGGATGGTGATATAGCTTCGTGGGGGACCAGCGGGTTCCTGATCAGGACTCGACTGCTCGATAGCCGTTTAGTATGGGAAACGGGATACCCACGTCGTAATTGACCGTTTAGCTGGATGGAATAGGGGAGGTAGCCCTCCCAAATACAGGGGGATTATCATGGGTCTAGGGGGTTGCAGCTCACTTCCTAGGCAAGACCCCAGATAATCTCATACCCATGCCGAGGTAGCCACTCGTAAGGCACCAGTCCAACACAGGTTAGCATAAAAGGAACTCTATGGGTTTAAATAAAAGGTCTAGGAACCAAAGAGGACCAAAGGGATAAGTTCCAAGAGAGAAAGCCCTAATGAGGTAAGGCCCGATTTCAGTTGTTCTAGAGCCAAAGGAAAGCCCGTGATCGTCTGCTAAGTTTAGGGTGCGGTAAGAGCCTACAAGTAGGTGGCTTACTGAGTATAATTTTTATACTCATTCCCTTTATACTTTTTTTTTTCAGGTACGTGAGGCGTCGAGTCAAGAGAGGGCGCGTCGATCGATGTGGGTTGTCACAGAGGAAGCGTGTCCCGGGGCGTCAGTCTAGTTTACTAAATAGTACACTTTGTCTCACATGTTCCTTTCCTTGTTTTTCTTTTACCTAGGCACTTATGTCCTTCTAATAAAGATATGTTTTTCTTTTGAAACAAATGATTTCCTTGAATTTCTCGTTTATGCATTACATGTCATACAATGTTAGTCACGGCTTAATTTGGGGTCGTGACATTTATCATGTGGGATCGAACATGGTTACTAAATCATGATTCACTAATAAGACGAGACTGGCCACACGGCCTACCAAGGATGAGCGTTCAAGTCACCAAGTGGCATAAAAGCGCCAAACAGGAATGGAATCAGTAAGAAAATCATCTAAATACCATATTCATCTTCGAACTAGTTTATTGCATATGAGTTTGTAGAGAATAAAACTCCATACTAGCGTGCAGCTCACGTCAAGTAGAGATCTTCCCCGTACAATAATGTAGTGTAGTGTAGCCAAAAATACATTTTTACTTCTAAAACTAACTTTTATCATCCATAATTCAAATCAGCAGCCCTCGTTTGTGAATGTGCAGATAACTAGGAATGTCACAAAAGCCGAGGCATTGAGATAAATAAATAAGCCCATCTTCTTCTTCATTTATTCTATTCGTATATTACCTTTTAAAAAAACCCCCAACAGAACAGACCAGAGTTGCAGCAGCTTGAACACCTTATCAGACACGTGTAGGAGCAGGGCAGCTTCTTGGAACTGTACAGAAAAGATTGTGACTTCCGCAGACATTAAGATTTCTTTATTTCTCACATCGGAAGGACCGAGCTCTGGCTTCTGTAATGCCTGGCCCAATGTATCTTCCTTCTACCCGAACTTAACATTTTCATCGAGATCCCACCCTTTTGCACAGAACGCCCAAATGGAATGCTCTTCACGAGATTATACAAGCTCTGATTTCCGACTCCCCGCTTTGGAAAGGGAACATTCCTCGAAGAGACTGAATTCTTCACTTCCACTAACGCCCCACTTGAAGAAGAACCTTCTTCTGGAATTTGTATTTTGGCCGTCGCCTGATAAATCGCCATTGCAGAAACTGAATCCATAGAAACCGACCTTCTTATCGCTTGTCCTTCGTCTTCCACAGCCTCGCGAACTTGATTCTCAGTCAAATCACTCAAAGTCCGAGACAGCCCTTTGATGGGAATTTCAGAATTCCCTCCACTATTGCTACCCCCTTCTCCACTGTTTTCATTTCCTCTGTTTTCTTCCTCGACGGCCTCTGTTTCCATTTGGGTATCTTCGATCGCCGGCGGCTGGTTTCCGATAGGTTCGATGGGGACTAAATTAGGGGCGGCGGAGTTGGACAGCACTGGAGCACGACAAAGGGGGCAGTTTTTGTGCGATCTCAGCCACGTGTCGATGCAGGGAACATGGAAGGCGTGGCTGCATTTAGGCAACAGTCGAAGGCTCTCGTCGTCTTGAAACTCCCCGAGGCAGATCGAGCAGTCTGATCCTTCGATTAGTTTCTCGTCCTTCCTGTACTTGAACATGGTGATTGAATCGATGATCGATTGCTGGAGACCGACGGTGTTGATGTACCATACGTGGTGGTCAAGGACGGGTCCTTCTTCATCGTCATCGGGGAGGTTCTCTCTGTGGACATCGAACAGAGGCGGCCCGTTCTGTCTGGAGTTACGATACTCCTTCAATTTCTTGACAAGAAGACAAAGCATGAAGATGGCGACGACTAAAGTAGCTGTGGAGATCAAACTGAGAAGAAGTAGAGTCTTTCCCGAGGGATGGGGGCGGGGTGGGTTACCGGAAGACGGAAGCAAAGGCAGATGCGGCGGCGGTGGCTTTGGAGAACATAGAAGGGAACAGTTAGGAGTACAGAGTGTATAACAAAATTTAAAATGGTATCGGGACCCAAGACAAGCCCGGTGGCAGGGCATGGCGTGGATGGGGCAACTGAATCGGCGAGGAAAAGGCGGAAGAGATGGGAGGTTGGGCGGTGGTGGTGACGGGTGATGAGGGAAATGTTAAAGAATTTTCGAGGAAGATGAGGGAAGTGGTTTGTGGGTATTGGTTGAAGACAAGGACATGGGCATTCAACTTGGCCCATGGAAGTGTGCCTGTAAGTCAATGGACTTTATTGTGCCATTCCCGCGTTCCAGACTTTCCAGTCGTCTTTCTTTTTCCTTTCCCAAAGGACTTCCATGTCAGCCCTACTCTCAAGGAAAATGGAAAACCAGTGAAATTTCCTCAACGCAAACTAATTACAATCGTACACGTAGGCTTAATACGTGGCTCAGATTGCCACCTGACAGCTACTTCTAGTTCCATCGTTGTCTAGCTGCGTGTTTGGAGGGTCTTTCAGTCGATTCCTCCCTACAATCGTAATCAAGAAATTAGGGTTCAATTATGGTAGAATTTTGTTACTAAAAATTGAGTGGATGGGCCCTTTGGCATACGAGCCCATGATGCCCTGTGGCCCATATTCTGAATTTCTTACGTTTGGATACTGTGACACAACCCGGCCCATCTCATTTTTGTCTGCTACCCTGCAATTTCCTCATGCTCTTATTAACACTTGTTACCTCATATAATTATAATATTTTAAGAGGCAAAGATAAGTAGTTATTGTAAAGTTGTTGGCGTTTAAAACAGAAATTGGGAAACAAGAAGAGTTGTTGAAAAGGACAGTATTGGGGTAACACGGATTTTATGTCAAAAACACACTGAAAATGCCTTTTAATAGCTTGTTCCCACAGTGTCCATTTCACCCTTTTTAAAAAACTATTTTTTCCATGTTCCATTTGCATCCTTTCCTTTATTGGCCTTTTATTTGTTCACATTGTCAAAGTTGCATAAAATTTGGTATATTTTCTTTTATTTTTTTTAAATAGTATATACACCAATTAATCAGTTAAGCATTAATAACTAAATTTTTCCAAAAAAATAATGAAAAAGAAACTAAAAATTGGGAATACATAAAGGTATGAATAACGAAATGTGGGCATCCATTACTACTACTTATTTGTGGCAATAAATTAGTTTCGATTTTTATGTGATTTGGACATCTCCTCCAATTCTGATTTATAATTCATATTGTCGTTTTCCTATTCCTCTACGCTCCTCGGGGATACAAAATCAGATACCTGTGAATGTTTGATTAATCCACCACACCTAAATGGTGTGAAAGTTATCTTATTTATAATCAAATAAATTACAAGGATATGGAAATAGTAATAAATGGAAATAACAATAAATGGAAAGATACCTATAGTAATAAGGCAAATGTTAGATATTTGCCTTATAATAAAATATCAAATCTAATATATATGGTAAACTATAATTTATTACTAAATATCCTTAACACCCCACCGCAAGCTAAGCGTCGGATTTAAACGAACGTGAAGCTTGAATCTGAAAAATTCAAAGAGGTTGAGAAACACTTTTCGTGAAGATGTTAACAACCTGGTTCAGAGGAGGCGTAGAGAAACACTTTCTTGGCCATCGAAAACTGCAGAGAGATCGCCGCTCAGCGGCGATGCTGCCTTGGCTTCGGTGAGAATATGTCTAACCCATGAAGAGGGATTGTCGCTTAGCGATGATGCTGACTTGGCTCTGGTGAGAATATGTCTAACCCCAAGAAGTAGCAGGGGAAACCTAGAGCAAGGGACAAAGACAATGTTGAAGCTGGAAGAGTCGCCACATTGGGGCGAAGGAGCCAATTTTGGCGAGAAGGGCAGCTGGAAGAGTCGCCACATTGGGGCGAAGGAGCCAATTTTGGCGAGAAGGGCAGCGGCAACTTGGTTGGCAAAGATGCCAGTGCGGCGCCCAGATTCCAAAGGTAAATCTCTGCAGAAGGTCAATGGGCTTATTGAGATTCTGTATATTTTCGAAGAGGAATGCTGATGAAGATCCTAAGATTAGGG